AAATCCATTGCTCCTGAGAGCCGGAAAATGAATCTTCACTATCGAATTATGTATATACGATATAATTATGTATTTACGAACAGAAGATCCTAGAGTTCTTAGTTTACAATACGAATATATTTACCCTTCATGATAACTGATATACCACTCAAAAGTCCCCCAGCTATCCAACGGCTCATCCTAGCCGTACTAATCCGTTATTAGACATTCAGATCTCGTCGGGGTCACTCCAAGAACAAAAGGTATTTAGTACTGCTCCCTCTGATGGGAAAGGGAATTGAAACAAAAGCTAGCCAATGACGACTAACGGAAAAAAAAAAAATAAGTACATTATAGGTAGTAGTGACCGTTATTTGTCGGAAAGTTTCTTGACGGTGAATGTGAGAAAAATAATCGTCTGTTACCTATAAAATAACGCAACGCCACTCATGGATGAATATTTTAGATAGAACATTTATGATCATTTAATTTATAATAAGTCTCATTTATAAATAGTTTTTAACGAAATCCTTCAGATTTATAATGAACAACTTATTAAGGAAGTTTCTTCCAAAAAAGGTAAATACTATTGAAAAAAATCTGCTATATCGGTTCAGTATAGCTTCATCGCTATTTCTATTGTGTACATAACTAATTTTATTTCTGGACCAATGGTTTGTTTCAAATTTAATAAATCGATATAATCTTTTGATAATAAAGTCGACGATAAGTACTTAAGGTTAGTACATTTGCGCGTATGGAATTTAAAAACTGGACCATTTGTCAGTCCTAAATTTTCCTCCACATTGATTCTAATTGGATAGTCTATTTTTGAAATGTAACCACATCTGCTCATCCGTACGCAAGATTTGAGAATAGACCCAAGCAATATTTATATGTAACCATTTGAGTATCAAACAGCATAATCTTTGCAAATTATATCAATATCGGATTATCGATTGTAGACGTCGCGCTCATCACTCAGACAGGACTACAGATAGACAGAAAGGGAACTAAAGTTATTTCATGATATCTAAAACGTAGAACGTAAGTGAAATTTTCGATTCTGATACTTTTTTTTCCCTTGAATACAAAGCTTCACTACGTTCTGTAGTGAGGAGGCACGATTTTATACCCAAATATCTCGGATATTGATTACTGCAAAATAATTTACTAAGCTATATTTGGACACAGCATAGGATAATGTTAGCTGAGTGGATGTACTACAGAGTCTTCACTATATTTTATTATTATTAGTTGTCTTGATTGGTACTGTGATAGCGGATCAAAGGAGAACAAAACACAACGTACCATATTTCTATCTTCAATGTGTATAGTTAGTTTAAAACAACGAACTGAAAACCTAACGGAAGGACGTTTTAATCGAAGGATTTCCTAGTCGATTATCTATAGGGTGGGTTTTTTCCACTTTCCTGATCACGAGGAAATGACGACGGCTATTTCGATAGGAAAATAAAGTAATAATATAGGCAGTTTAACAGTTGGTGAAAATGCAGAGCAGATGAGGGACATAATGAAGAAGGGTTAGGCGGCTGCCATATGCCCACACTATGCCCATCCGTCATATTAGTGCCTATAATGAGCCACGCCAGACCTAGAGCTACCTGGAACCTCTGGTCTGGGGGATAGCTACCTTGTACCTGTCCCGCGCTAATGACGTGTCTCTCTAATAATTTGGAAAAGGGATGAGGGGGAGGAAGTAATGTAGAATTTGACGCATGCAAAATACCAATGTGACCCATGTTCGATTCCAGGTCGACATAACAGAAGTAATAGCTTTTAGGGTGGGATGGTCAACCATTGGGTGAAAGATAGAAGATATCTTGGTCGAGGTGGAATAACTTCATATAGGCTCTTGAATGAAACTATTAGTTCACTCAATATGAAATTTTAGAAAATGTAGGATTTCAAATTTTTTAACACCTCGATCAGAACATCCCATCGAAAGATTTTAACGTACCAAATTAAATAACAACAATGCTTTCGATTTCTTTTGCTAAAAATAAAACTGTACCTTTACACGGTCTCTTATTGTTATTTTCTTATAGCTTTTGTGCTTATAAATTTTTTTTGAAAATTTCGAATCCTTGTTCAAACATTAAGACTATGACAATATTGTATTGAACCCGACAATTGAAAGAGAGAACTTCAAACTCCAAAAGCTAGGTCCAATTCAAAAATTTATTTTTGAAGTAAAAAAACCTGAAACTCGTATTTCTTCTTTTAAGCTTGAATCAAGAGCTCACGGGTGAATTAGGAATTAAACTTAATTCTAGGCTAAATCTAACCGTTTCAGTCACGAGTTAGCTGAAGAATAAAAGTGACAGAAGCCTGGATATTTAATTTAAATTCAAAACTATAAAATACCACATTAACTCTTGACTTAGCAACTAGTGATGAAAGATGAAAAAACACTTGCAGACTGTTTCATGATATCATTTCAAATTTTATTTATAACAATCATTTTATCTCGATTTAAAATAGTGTCTTTTTAACTTGAAACATCTTTAAGATAACCTCTATTGATCAAACCATTTGAAATGTCTCTAGTGCCTAGCTTCAAGCTTGTTATCACTGATTTTAAGTTAATAAGAATTAGATTAATACAAATTTATGGATCGATATACTTTCAAAGAGATAAAGCAAGTGGATTTGCTGTTATGATAATTTGGAAGATTGAGAAAATGTAAGGCGTAACAATATATATATTTATGAAACAGATAATTGAATAGACTAAAGCGCTCACCCAATGGCCCCAAAAGGAGATTTTGATCTTATTTACAAAAACTATTTTAAAATTTCATAGAGTAGCGCAAAGACATAAATGTACCCAAGATTGTTAAAATTATGTTAGATTTTGTCTTATTAAGTACGTCATCAAAAGACATTGTGTTTTTAATGAATGGAATGGGAATTTTCATAGTAGTTACGGACAGCTTGTGTAATTTTTTTTCAACTGCCTTTTACGTAACTCTTCTCTTAAACTAATCGAAAATGTGACCATGAATAGAGTACTCAGAAGAAAAAAAAATGATAATAGGAAAATATGGGAAAATCATTTCAAACAATGATATTCTTTAGGACGGGTGGAAAAAAATTAGATATAGAATGGCTTCAAAATAACTTATTTTTTATAATTATTAAAATGAGGAACTGAAATGAAAAAAATAATATTTTTTTCATTTGATATATTATTGTTAATGATTTTATAGAGAAATATTAAAGGTTTTTTTTTATAGATTATCCAGGATTTTTAATGCATGAGTTTAATAAACTATAAAATAAATTATAGTTGATTTATATTTTTTTAATTTAAGGTTTATTCATTGTATAAATATATTTTTTATAAGGATTATTTAGTGATGCCATTCTATACTAACTGAGAAGATTGATGCACATCTACTAATTTTTAAAATTGGGAAAATTGAATGGTGGATAAGAAAAATAAATTAGATTTTAAAAACTAACCTGTTTGTCCCAGCAAAGCTAGGGGTCAGAAATTCTTTTAACTTTTATTTTCCAAATTTCATTTTCTTTTTGTTTTTTAAAATATAAAATGCATAAAAACTAACTTAAAACCACCGTCTTTCAATTTCACTCCCTTTTCCAAGGAAATGAGGAGTAGAGTGGAATGGATGCGGTTCACATTTTGTTAGTTTTCGGGCCTTTTATTTAAATTGTAATAATTTTTTTCTTTTTTTCAAAAGGATAACACAAAGAAATTAACAGAAGAGAAATAAACTGAAATTGCAAAGACAGGGTATATATAGAGAAACAAAAGAAAAAAAAAAGAAAAAAAAAGTGAAACATTTGATAACGTGCAGGTTTGTAGGAAAAGAAATGTTAGTGGGGAGGTTGCGGTCGGTGTAAAATATTAGAAACTTTTACTGCTAAAGTGCACTAGTTATATCCCGGCCACCCAGCACGCTATCTGTCCTGACTGTGGATGTTTCATTAAAGCTTTTAAGTTTTCAATTAATAAAGTCCACCAACTTTCAAGTTTTACACGGATGCTTTATCTGCGATGGGGCATTTTCGCGCCATGAACGACCTAAATAACGCAAATATACGGCTTTTAATAGAGTCCAAAAAGAAAGAAAAAGAGTTCTATGCGAAAAATTTCAATCGTACAATTTCAAGCTAGATTTTCGGAAGAATTTTTGAAAACAAATTGGTTATATTTAATTCCATCTATAAAGATTTTTAAGTCATATCTATTACTGATATGGCTGGATTGTTCAACGCTAAAACGCAGGGGTGCCCTAAAGTAGGTCAAGTCAAAATATTTTAGCGGAGTCAATTTTTATTTAAAATCTTTGAGGAAACCACATTTTTAATTTGGGGGAATTTTAAATCAGGGAACCAGCGGGAAAAAATGGAACAGCAAGTGTTATTATAGTGTTATAAGATAAACATTTTCCTGGTTCTTCTTTCGCTTCTTTTTAAGAGGAAGAAAATAATAAAATTTCTGGGGGGAGGCATGTATCATCAACTTTCAGGAGATGGGCATCCCTGCTAAAAAGCAAGAGACTATCGGATTTTCTTGCCATCAAGAGTTGCGTGATGGTATTCTTTGTTCCTGTCATTCGAATCCAACTTTCCAATATCAAGCAAGATTAAACATGCGCCGAACACGTTCTCATTGTATTGCCAGATTTTTTTTTTTGTATTTTAAGAAAACATTTAAATTAATGAGAATTTCAAAGCTAACGCTAGAACTAAAGTACGAAAGTAACATAACGATTATGTTATTATTGTTTTTCTTTAAACTTTGATTGAAAGTGATGTAGGTCCAATCCTGAAATCAGGTAGAAAGCTTTTCCGATCTTCGGTTGTATATAAGGAACATCCCTACCTTTGAACATGGCAAGATTATCCTATGTTCTAGTTGATTGAATCTGTTGCTCAGTTCTGTATCGAGTGATGGGTAATGAGGATTTGGATATTAAACGGGAATTCGGGATAGATACCTGTGTAAGGGTAGCGATGAAGGAACTTACCTTTGTAGTATGCGTCCTCAGACTGGACTCTGTGGCAAACCCTTTGCCGCAAATTGTGCAATGGAATGGCCTGTTCTTGGCGCGCTCGACCTGGGCGTCGTGGTTCCTCAGGTGTTGCTGCAGGTTGGAGAGCTGGATGAAGGCCCGGCCGCACTCTGCCAAGTGGCAGCGGTAGGGTCGTTCACCTGAGGGAAACAGAAATTAATGGATTACTTAGAGATGGCATAAGTATTAAATGACATATATAAATATTATTAATTTTTACAAAATATAATGGAGGCTTAACATAGCAAAGATTTAAATTGTAGAGGAGGCAAGAAGTATTTATGGGCAGAGAACACCATACTAAGTTTCGTGGATACCCCCAAACCGCAAAAGTCGATAGGCTACGGTTTACTTTTAAGAATATAAACTATTATGTAGTTTGTGTTATTTGATTTGGCTAGGTCAAAGTATCAAAAGTATAGTTTGAAAAAAAAAAACTCTTTTGAGAAATAATATATAACGACTTAGAATTAAAATATTTAAAACTCTCTGTCCAACACTGTCATCACCACCTATGCCGATGACACGTGTATCCTATCAGTTAATAACGATCCTTTAATTGCATCCCAAACTCTTCAATCACATATCACAAGCCTTGAAGAATGGTGTAAAAATTGGAGAATAAAATAAATTCCAACAAATCCCATCAAATCACTTTTACCCTCCGTCGTAAACCTATGACCTCTTGTCCTACAGTATCCTTCAATAATACTCCACTTATTCCTGTTGAGCAAATCCGCTACTTAGGACTCCACCTTGACAAACGACTCACTTGGAACCCCCATACCAGACTGAAACGACTAGAAACCGCCCGACGTTTTCGACTACTGCAGCACTTACTAGACAAACGATCTAAGCTTTCAATCAATTATAAACGACTCGTATATATGACAATAATAAGACCTATTTGGACTTACGGAATTGAGCTTTGGGGCTCCACTAAACCATCGAATTCCTCTCGTATCCAATCCTTACAATCCAAAATCCTTCGTAAAATCCTCAACGCTCCTTACTTTGTCACAAATAAAATCATCCATAAAGACCTTAATGTTCCATATGTTTCCGATCTGGCCCAATCCAGATATCTTTCCTTCCATAACAAACTGCAGAATCATCCGAATCCTCTCGTTTCAAACCTTGCTTCCTCCTCGATCCCTGATAACCCTCCGAGGCGTCTGAAAAGAAGATGGCCTCGGGATCTTCTAATATAGAACTTTAATTTGAGTTCTACCAATGGGTAGTTTCTCTTCATGTTGTACATGCCATGTTACAAATTTCTCATTTACTTATTGTATTCTCTATGTAATACAGTTGTAAATTCCATTGAAATAAAAAAAAAAAAAAAAAAAAAAAAAAAACTCTCTGTCCTGCATCGTTTTTCTCTCTACTGTCTTTGTTTTGTATTTATCTATCACGGTTTGTTTCCATAGTTACAGACATATCAAATTTTGGTTTATTTCTTTTCTACTTCCGAAGCATCAACAGACAAATCCGACCCTTTGGCAGAACAGGACTAGCGACCGCGGGCCCTCACCGAGGCATATTATTAAATAAAAATTATATATACGGTGACATATGGCAGCGGTTGGGCCGGACAGGGTTTGATTACGAGGAGATAATTGTTGGAAGGCGCATTGTGCAATGCCTGGCTCTGACGTACGGCAGCACTTCCATTGTTGCACTTAAATGCAGGGAGGTCCTCAGCAAGGTTCAATATCGATTAGGCCCTCTCCTGTCGATAGAATCATGTCATATCGAAATTAATAATCGAATCATCGATTCGGAAATCGCGTGAAAAAACGAATTTCAAACAAATTCAATCCAATGAAAAAAAAATAAGCAAACATATTACGCTTTAACCAATAATAAGGGTTATGCATTTACACTTTTTTAGATATAAGTCGCTTACTTCCAAAATGAATCTTACTAGATTTTTCGGAAATCCAGATAAGTATTTATTCCCATGTTAAAATACCCGATGAATCCATTGGAATTTTTGTTCTGGAATTTATATAAATTATGATTAAAATTAACCGTAGCTGTAACAATCTTATTACTAGTTAAACGAACAGACTGATTTTTAAAAAGTATTAATTTTGAGTCTTGAAACTTTTAATTTAGAACATTCAATTAAATAATTAAATTAATGTATTTATATAAAGATATTTAAAGACATAAGGATATTTAAGTAGCTAGTAATTCAATATTTTTTATCCTGTTTTATGGATTATATTTAAAATTTAATGAATAAGTAATGTAACGAATTTTCAAATAATAAATCTACAAAAACAGAGACAAGTAGTCTATATATATTTAATAATCTGTTTATTTGGAAAAAAACATACAAATCATGGTACAACTTTCAGTTAAATAATAAAGCAGTTGTCAACAATTGTAAATAAACAAATCACTTCTGTTGCCTTAATTAAATTAACTTCCAATGAAATCAATTGTAAAAAAAAAATCGTGTTAATCTAGTTAGTTGGATATTGTTAAACACTCCCCACTCAGTATACACGTTAATTTCAGGGCGAGACTAAAGATGTATTAGACACGGTTGTCTATATTCACTTCGCTTCGTTGCTTTAAAGACAAGAAAATATCTCTTGTAAACAACGATTGATTGAACTTAACGTCATAAATATAGAATAAAAATTTGTTGTGATTTAAAAAAAAATCATTTTGCAATAATATAAATTCATAAAATTATTTTCAAACTGGTACAGCTAAGTTTGAAGAGTTTTGAAATCGTTATAGAAATCAAAGGACATTGTTGGAAGCTTCACGAAGTCAGTTTCAATTTCCTAATTATTGAACACGTCAAATGTTTATCAAGATTGAACCTGACGATGAGATTTTTCTTATTGTATTCAGTTTTAATATTATTAAAATTAAGAATACAAAAAATAATTACTCCATATAATAAAGTAATATTACCTTACATTAAATATATTTTATTCCCTTATTTTACCGAAATACTTTCTAATGAAAAAATTATCACTTAGATACTTATGATTTATACCTAAAAAAATTCATATTTAATTCTTATTTTAGAACTAAATTTGTTATATTGCACTAATTCTATGTTTATTATTTTATTCAGATCCTGTACAGGAACTTCGTTTTGGTACGTATACGTTTTAATTATTTATAATATATAATAGATTCTGCCATAATTTTTAAAAATATATATTTGATATTAATTTTAACCTGCCTGATACTGATATTTATACCACCCTTATGACTGACGGAATACTCTCTCGAAAAATATAGTGACCTCGTAACCATTGAAACTTAACACCATATCCCGATGACATTTACAGTTGCAAGATAGAAAAAAAAAATCAACGATAAAAACTGGATGTAAGAGATATTTTTCTCAAGACCGTTAAATGAAAAAAAAAAATATATTTTTTTTATACCTCTGATTTAAGATATATATGATAAGTTCGAAACCAAGTCACACCTGACACTATTATGTTGAATACAATGATATATATGTTATTATTACTTTTTTAAAATTTAAGTGCTCGTAAGCAAGGCAAGGCAGGATGCAATGTTCTCATCTCGGTGATTCGAGTAATTGTTTCAATTGTCTCGTGACGATTGCATTTTTGGGAACCATTTTCAATTTAAACGATCAAAAGGAAATTTGATCGTACGGGAAGACATGTCATTATTCAAGCATGATTTATGATAAGTGTGATAGCTGTCAAGATATATTAGAAACATCACAAGTGCTCCTTTAAGTATTTTCAAAACAATCAAATTGATTCATTTTCGAAAATTATTTTACGGTGTAGGGTCGGAAAAAAGTATCATGCACAACAAAAAACATTTATTTGAAGTGATATTTTATATCAAATCTACCACAATATTAAAAAAAAGTTAATGAATTTTTCGTTTGTGAAGTCATAAAATTGTACCTTTATTGTAACTATATTTAATAAATAAAAGGGGTTGTGTCATTTTAGTACTCTCGCTGTGTTTTTTTTTTTGACTATAAATAAGATCAAAATTAAAAAAAAAAAGTTTTTAAAACTTCAACTCCATCAAAAATAGATTCAGTGAAATTTGCAATGAAAAAAAAAAATATTCTTCCAAGTTCTATGCGTACTCCGTTATTAGTAATTGGAACCCAATAATACTTAAAGAAATAGTTGTTTTTAGGCACTTCTGTAAAAAAAAAAAAAAAATAATTATTACATACGACCTTTTGCACTAACAGTAGCATATGAAAAATTTTGGTGCCGTCATAACTTTTACATGAAGCATTTGTTTTGTAATGTTCTAAATATAATTACGTCCAATGGATTAGAAAAAAAAAAAAACTACTCTTTATTGGTTCATTCGAAGAGTGTTTCAAAACGCTTACGTCCTAAATTTGTCGTTGGTAATCCAGAAACGTTCGAAATGTTTTCGGACAATTCTGAAAAAGATGTTACAATCCCTACCAAAGTACAAAAACCTGTTCCAGCTGAAATCGGAAAGTTGAGTATGACGTCACAACTGTATGTCGATGGGATATTTGACATGTGCTTTTAGCGCAGGAGCCCTGCCAGCCAACATGTTCAGGACAGATTCGCGCTCATTACTAATGGATCATTGTGCGCAATCCACCGGGGACGTAGTTGGCGTTGATGCAATTAACGCAACGGGACTCGGAGTTAAAACTAAATCCATATCAAAGCTTAATGTTACAGTAAAACAGCTGTTCCGACTTAAGTTGGAAATGTACCATCAGGGTTCTTGTTCATTTGCAGGTACATTAGATTCTTCGCTCGTTGATGAGGGGGACACGGGCATTAGCGGGAACACGCGTGAAACAAACGGATTTTATTTCGGCGAAATGTTACCTCCCTCTCTCCCCCCGTGTCCGAATGAGATAACTAATTTCGATAATAAGTTGTAAACACGATAGAGTTTGGATCGACCCCGGAATTTATATAGCTCATCAGAATATTTTTGTTTATTTAACTGATTTTATTCTATTGTTAACGCGGAATAAAATCTCGACATTAATTATAATTTTCAGTAACATGTTTTCTTTATCTGCTGACGTTTCTTTCAAGCTTGTCGAGTCATCATTCCAGGGCTAAAAATTCTCCATATACTTATTTAATGGAATTATTTTTTATTT